CAATAATTTTCCATTTAAACATAAATTAAGTTTAAAATCAAATGCTAACATACCATCTTTATACTCATACTTAAAAACCTTTTTAAAAAGGTATTCAGTAAAGTAGTATTGTACAGCAGTACACATTCGGATGAACATACAAAAATTATACAAATTTTGATAGTAAGTACAGTTAATATAAACTTGCAAAATTAAGTAACCATTTTAATGGTTAGGGTTGGGGTGAACGCTAGCATTATCCTTTTTCATGTTGGATTAGTAGTAAAAATAGCATGAGTTTGGTGAATTTTTTTTCTTTTACAAACCATACGTGCTATCTTGATTTCTACATGTCTGTCCTCCTTTGCAGTTTCATACTGTATTACCATACTATATACCCTTTTTTGAACTATTGAGTCAATTTCTAAGATCTGTAATTTACAATAGCCAAAATCATTAATATGTAGTTTTTTAATACTATATATAAAATGCGAAAAATACTATAGAGCATTGCATTAGGTACCCCTGAAAATAGTATCCTGGACAGTGTTAAAATTATATGCAGAATCTGCGGAACGCGGATTGAAAATTCATCTTGCAAAAATCTGTTACACTTTTTTTTTAAATTTTTATTATACTTACAAGAACTACTTAGTTTTTCTATACATTAAAATAAATTAAATTTTAAATACTGATTCCGGGTATATTTCAATAACATCGCATGAAAATTCTAATTTTATACTCCACTATTCAACAAAATAATATTAAATTCATTAATACTACAGACTTCGTTACTATTATCTATAGCTTTTTCCCAATCTACTTCCTGGTCTATTACCTTTACTAATCATTAGAAACTATCATAATCTTGGCAGTGATGTAAGACTATTCTATAAACAATGCTAGGTGATATTAGTGAAGCAATGCTTGCATCCAAAATATATTGATAAATTCTTGATCGTAAAGCATTTCACCTAAAGTGTCTATATTCGCCAGGTATAGATGAAATTGGAATGTATTGACATAGAATTGTTTTTAGTAATGATTATAAAAGTTGGAGGTCTAATAATAAGTTCTTTACGGATATATTTGTAATGCTATAAAGTCTACAATTAAACTGTTTGAAGAATTGAAAAGTTATTGACAGTTATTTGGAAATCAAAATACTTCAAATCATAGTATGCTAGAACTGTAATAATGGCATTTGTAACCTTTGTATCAAAGAATACTTCAGCATTTTTCTTCTTTCCTTCATCTTGAGTAAGACCATATATGATCTTTCTTCAGGTGTAAATTGCTTAGTTTTTTCTTTATATTCGACTTGAATATATGACTTACTGTTCTTTTCAATAACTTTAAATAACCAATACTAATTAAGAATAGGGATATACAAAAAAGTTACTTTAATATGTATAGTATAATTCCAGATAAACGTGCTTAAATCACACAAAAAATTGAAGCTCTTTTGGTATAAACAATATCATTTTAAGATCAACTGATTAATAATATGAGGTCACCTATACAAAAGAGATTCGGAATTAAGCACTTAGCATATTTTAAAATCAGATTGCACTTCATGATTATTAAATCTACAACCATAGTCATTGAAGATTAGTTCAAACATGTCATAAAACTCAATATAATACAATAAGTTCATATCTTTTAAATTCTGAAAAGCAATTAAAATTGTCTCCTAAGCAAAGTTCTCTGGGAGTTAAAATTTACTTTGATCTCTCTGCATAGTGAACATTAACACTTCATTGAACGCTAATACTTCGTTGCCCTTTAAAAAGTATACTGTAAAGTATATAAATTAGTTACTCCGGCAACTTATCTGCAGGTGAAAATTTTCTATATATAAAGCACAAATATAATTCACATGACTATTGTTTGGTGAACAATTACATAAATCAGAAATTGATCTTCAATCGTATATTCGTATATGTTCATATGTGTTCGTGTGTGTTTATATATTCACCGAAAAAAAAATTATTTGCTATTTTCAACCATTTTAAAAAATAGCAATAATTATAATAATAATAATAACTTAGTGATTAAAACTATTAGGCTATGCAAAGTTAATTAATTGGTTCTTATAATCTAACTGGGTCAAATTTTGAAATTTTTACAAAAATTTTTTATATATTTTAATAATTAAGCAAGTTTTTTAAAAATTTTTAAGTATGAGTATAAAGATGGTATGTTAGCATTTGATTTTAAACTTAATTTATGTTTAAATGGAAAATTATTG